AGAGAGAGAGAGAGAGAGAGAGAGAGAGAGAGAGAGAGAGAGAGAGAGAGAGAGAGAGAGGAGAAGAAAAAGATATTGTCAAGACCACCACAGCATCGAAAAAAGACAAAGAATATACATGGCAACCTGAAGATATTTTTGGCTCATACATAAATCTAAGACGACAACTGCTGGAAAAGCCCAAAATTTCGAACGACGATTGTTCTTAACGTATATATGCTTGGAATACCACGACCAAATCAAGCTTATATGCGTCTACATGGAGTGAAATAAAGCAGAATTATGCCCAAAGTGACTTTATGTCATCATTATCCATTCGAAAGTCGATAGTTTTCCTCTAATTCAACAGTACACCTTTTTTTGCCCTTTTGGCTTACAAAATAGTTGATAATTATCAACTCTATTGACAAAACTACACTGACCAGTCATTAGAAAAAATGTTGTGTAGGTTTTCAATCTGCATAAATTGCCTACCTCGACCGATTTCATTGAAAATTTTGTATATTTATTCAATTCTAAGGAGAAAAAAAAATTCTTAATGGAAAATTTATAATTAACGAGCGAGAGCGAGAAAGAAAACACTAAGCGAACCGACTAAGATTTGGCGCCCGTGCATCGTTTGCTCCTCTTTAGAAAAAAAAAATCGAGAGAAATCAAGATGTTTTTTTGCTGTTTCAGTCGATAAATAATTTATTGGGAATTCGATATTTCACTAGTAGATTCCTTTCAAAAATGTCACCTGATTATATTCTGAACTCGATTTGATTTTTTTTTTCTTGCTTGATTTTTTTTCTTCTTCTTCACGTGCCACCTCAATCAGTCGAATGTGTAAATGTGAAAATGTAAATTTCAAAACAACTTTCTTCTGCCGTCCCGTTTCTTTACCATAAATTTGTTTTTTTTTTTTGAGAGACAATGATGGCGCCGAATTCTATTTCGGCGTTTTACGATGAAAATGGTGAGCAGTGAAGACGATAATGGCCAACAAAAACTACTGATGAACACGATACTATGGCATGATAGGCATCGGCATGACTTGCTTTTGTTGAATGGTTATCAATGTGGGTCGATGCTTTTGTAAATACCATATTTCCGTTTGATTTGCCATTTCCCGTTCAACTTAAACTGGTATTATTTTAGCAAACCGGATCTCTATTAGTAACTTACCTATCAAACGCAATCGATACGGCCATATTAATCGAGGAAATTTGGCTAAGAATCAACAGAGGCATTGTTTGGGATTATACATTTTATTTTTAATTTCAATAAAGAAAAAAATAAACAATAAAGGAATATACACATTTTCATGCTCCTTATAATATAATATTGGTTCTGACGCAAAAAAGGATTCAACGCTCCAAAGAAAGCACTTTCCATTTTTTCTTCTTTTAATAAACTCTTCAATTTTTTCTTTCGGGTTTCTTTTTTTTCTTCATTCGATTCGATACGATTCGATTCGATTCGAAATTACAAATATCTCTCTTTGTCTCTTTCTCCCCATATATTTTTTGTTCAATTAATCAGTTCGACTATATTCGTCCCAGCAGCTCTTCCCACGTCACGTCGTTAATAATAATAATAAAAAATTATGATAATAATAGTAATGAATGATGATGAGTTGAAGTGGCCTATAGCGTGTGGCGGCTGTTGAACGTCAAAGTCATTTGAGGCGACGCAAGCGCCCCCAATTTCAAAGGGCACATTAATGTAATTTAACATTGCAAATCGGAACTACACAGCGCGCCAATTCGAAATATAGGAAAATATAGTGTCAACAGCCGCACCATGACCTATAGCAAAACATGCATCGAAAGAGACAAGAGTACTACTAGGGGTAAACAAAATTTTTAAATCGAAAATCACTTGAACAAGTTCCTTATCACAAAATAAATAAGTGTTTTTTTAAGTATGGTTTTGGTTTTTTTTTTCACTAGGTAGAGATAAAAAGCACTGTCTTTCCATGATTACAATCATATGAATATTTATATCGAACAAAAAAACAAACACTGAATGCTTTTGCTTTTGTTTCTTCTCGTTTTTGATTTGATTTTGTTTTGGTTCCGATACATAGCATAAAAATAGAGCTGGGCTTTAGAAGATTCCACATCAACGGGTTTTGTCTTGGAAAAATGTTCGTCAATTTCTTTTAACATGGCCTTCTGGTATTTCATACACTCTAAATAAATAGATAATCTAATTGAGTTCAACTAAATGTGTTTTTTCTGTTTTCTTCATCAAAATATCTTTCTTTTTTTTTTTTTTCGTTTGGTTTTTTTTTACACAACTAAATAATTTCCATCAAACTTTTTTTTTCTCGTTTAAATATAGATTGTTCTTTTTAGTTACATTTTTTTTGTGTTCTCGCTAATTTCGCAGGAAAAAAATTCATTCTTTTTTGTATACGCTTTGTAAAATATTGGCAAATATGAATCAGCCTGTTCAAGTTATTATGCAAAAGCAAATATAATACGCGATGAAAGTGCCTTCCAATTGGAGCAATACATATGATGAATGTAATTGTAAAAGATTTTCGTGTTTTTTTAGAGTGTGTTTTTTTCCTTTGCGGTTTGATATGATAACAAACGCGGAAAAAAAAAATCATTTTAAACAGTCGATAATAATTTGCGGGATTGTGAGGAACAGGCGTAGGGGAGAGGTGATGGTGGTTGGGTTTGGGTTCATTTTGTTTTGTTTGTGGGAAGATATACGCGCAATAATATAGGTGTATAGTGATTTTGTTTGTTATATATAAACTTTTATGAGTTAAACAATCGATGTTTTTTTTCTAAGCTCCTACTTGTATGTGATTTGGTTGTGGTTGTTGTTGTTGTTGTTGTTTTAAATCGAAATCCATGAGAATTTCTCAATACTTTTCTGTCAATCGCCATGCGCGACCACACTAAGCCATTTTATCATCTGCAGTTTGAACAAATGGCAATGGCAATTCTTCATATATTCATTTGTTTTTTTTTTTATTGTACTCTCTGTTTTTTGCAATCAGCAAGAATATGTGTGACTGATCATATATATCGTGGTGGTGACAACCGAAAAGGAAGAAAAACAATATCATGTTCAAATCATGTTATGGGTTATATAATTGCCACTTGTTGCATTCGATTTCGACTGCATGTCGTTTAATGGAATGCGTAATGTTTGCTTGTTTTTTTTGTCTCTAATTAAATTGTATGTGTGTATATGCGTGTGTTGGTTTATATTTTTTTTTTCTGGAAATGGAACCACTTGATAATTGTGTGCAATGTGCATTTACAATGTTCCTTGTTATTTGCTGGGCTATTCACGGTCACACCACGGTACATTGTTTGTTGTTGATAATTTTCTTCTGCGGTTTTTGTGTGTGTTCTCTTTTCTTGCTTCAAAAGTGGTAGCTTATTTACACTAAATGCGTTTTGTTTTCTTCAATAAAAACGTCCCGTAGGTTAACTGGTTCCTCACTGGGATTACATGTGTTTTTTTTTTGCCGTTTTGTTTGATTCCATATATGAAATATATATATCTAAAAAAAATGAAAACCATTTGTTTTGCATCTACACACACCCACACTTCCGTTTGTGATTCAATCCATTCGAAAAATGTGATGTGTACGGCGCGCTCTAGTTGATATATTTTGGTTGCACGCTTCTACTTCGGCTATGATTTCTACGGGTTTCTGTTTCAGCAGTACGAATGAGAAACCGATGACAACGATGGAGGTGATGGAGGCGGTGGACATGGCTGCTTTGGTGACCATTCATTTTGCTTAAGTAAAAACTGCTTAACATTATATTCCATTTGAGCTAAATCGACTGGTTGATTTGTGCCGCCCGGTTGCGTCTTATTCACATTGTTATTCATCTGGCTGTAATCAATGGTCTTTTGAGCTGCAATAGAATAACAGACACAAGATTGCACTTTCCGATCAGTATTGAGAGTTTGTTTTTTGTTTGTTTGGGTTTGATTTCAAATTGTGTGTGTATTTTTTTTTTTTCGTTTTTTTCAACAACAAAAAGAGTCAATGGTTTCGAATTGTGTTTCTGTGGTTTTTGTGGGAAATTGTTTGTATCTCAGCCAATGAGTGTAGGTATAATTTTTTTTTAATATTTGAATGCAAGCCGTCTACATGTTACACAGAATAGCTATATGATCAATAGCTGTCCATCAACTCATTCGGATTGTATAAGCATTGCACCAAATATGTCTTTGTATATATGTGTTTGAGGGAAATTTGTGAGATTTGTGAAAGAGCATCATATTGTTCATGCACAGGAATGCTTACCGGCTTCGAAATCATTGATGGGCAAATTATTGCAGTTGATCATTGATATCCTATCTACTGAACGATTGCTAATTTCATCACTATTGTTGTTTAACTTTGTAACTTGTTTGTAGTCAACGTCTGGATTGCCTAGACATGCCTCATGGTTGTTGTTTTGCACCCATTCAGCCACACGGCTCAGCTGTTGGCGTCGCAACAGTGATGTTTCATCGACCAGTGACAATGGATGCGTTGGTCGAAATTGGTGCATATGTAAGAATTGACCTTGCTGCTGCTGTTGCTGCTGTTGCTGCTGCTGTTGTTTATCGACCACATCAATGTGTTCCTTCAAATCGATCGACTCATTCATAGCATTTGGATCTGTTAACGGCTGACCGTATGCACCATTTTGGCTCAGATCATGATCATTCATTGATAAACCATTGAAGTTTCTCTCCAATCCAATTGAATCACTCGTTATGTGCGTTGTGTTCGTACAATATTTTTGATTTGGCTGATCACATTCATTCCTTTGACCGCATTCGTCGTCATACGTTTGAGCAATATGGCTGGCATTCACATCCTGTGAACATGCATTACCGACACGCATCGGATGGCCGATCTTATACGATTCCGATTTTGATTCATTGGGCATTGCAGCTACGACACCATCGCTCATAAGCATCGAAATTTTATGGTATGTCCTTGGTTCGGTGCTTCCATTTACGGATGGATACAGGCTGGTTGTTGTTGTTGTTGTAATAATATCCTTTGTTTCGTCTAGCTCTTCGTCGAGAAATCGACTTCGGCGCGTATAAATGACTGGCGTTGAATCCGATTCAATGTTATCGATCAGAACATTACCACCGCCATTTGGAATGCGCAACGCACACAAACGTGGCCCAGACAAATTCGGTTTTTCAGCCTGAAATAAGGACAACAAAAAAACGAGTGGAATTAATAATCTTCTTTCAAATCAGATCAACACCTATATATATGTCTCTTTCGTTCGCCTTACCTTTATGGATTTGATTAGGTTCCTATTGAAACTTTCAAACAATTTCGATCCGTCTAAAGCAGCCGAACTCCGATTCGACAAACTACTCGAACTGCTGGCTGTGGCCCGTTCACTTAGCCGTTGATGTGTTCGGCTTGGCTCCTTTGCACGTGGCGGCAATTCATCGGCGGACATCGTGGTTGCCGTCGTCGCCGTTGAATGATGTTTTGATTGATTTTCATGTGCGCTAATGCTGCTGCTGCTGTTATTATTGTTGTTGTTGTTGTTGCTGCTGATGTTCGTATATGGTTTCGCACACGATTGCGATGATACGGATGATAGATTCTCTTGCATCGAACGATTTGGTGTGGTTAGCTTTTTAACCGTTCGTTCGCTAATTGGGGTGTGGCCTAATATTGGATTCACCGTCAATTCATCCTTTTTACCGAGCAATTTGTCGGTGGAACCGGCACACGATATGCTACTTTTCGTATCCGATATTATAGAATCACAGGATTTTACGAGTTTCAAAATAAATGGGCTATTTGTGCTGGATGGCGAATTTAAATTGCTATTGCATCGCAAGCATAATGCAAAATTGACATCACCCTGCAATATGGTTTGCGTTCCAACATTGTATGTTTGATCAATATCCGCTAGCACGCGCAAATCACGTTGTGCACACAAACACGTTTCACAATGCTTCACATTGGCTTTCAATTTATCTTCCAAATATTTGGCAATGCCAAGCGGTGATATCATTTGGTCGTCACCATTGTTTGCCGCATTCGAATTCTTTGCCGATGATATTCCTAATGTTGATTATCATAAATCGAATGGAAGAAGAAACAAATGCCAATTAAATGAAGAAAAAATTATGAGTTGTTGGATAAGCTTTTCTTTGATACCAGATGTTCGCATTTGCATTGCTTAGGAAGCAGCATGTTTTAAGGCACAGCATTAATGCTAGCATATCGATGGTTGCAACAGCGACGCATACACGGATCTCGCGCTCACAAAAGCCGCACACATCTCTCGTGCTCAGTAGCCGTCGCATCAACAAACATACACA